TTTGGGTTTGGCTACCAGCATCTCCTTCTAGGGTTTGGGGTTTGGCTACCAACATCTCCTCGTAGGGTTTAGGGTTTGGCTAGCAACATCTCCTTTTAGGGTCTAGGTTTTGGCTACCAACATTTCCTTTTAGGGTTTAGGGTTTAGGGCTTGGCCAACGACATCTCCTTTTAGGGTTTAGGTCCCCTTAGGGTTTAGGGTTTGGCTACCGACATCTGCTTTTAGGGTTTTGGGTTTACTTACCAACATCTCCTTTTAGGATTTAGGGTTTGGCTACCAACATCTCCTTTCAGGGTTTGGGGTTTGGGTACCAACATTTCTTTTTAGGGTTTAGGGTTTGGCTATCAACATCTCCTTTTAGGGTCTAGGGTTTGTTCACCAACATCTACTTGTGGGGTTTGGCTACCAGCCTCTCCTTGTAGGGTTTAGGCTTTGGCTACCAAGATCTCCTTTTAGGGTCTAAGGTTTGTTCACCAACATCTCCTTGTAGGGTTTGGCTACCAGCCTCGTGCCAGTATCGTTACCAACATCTCCCTTTAGGGTGTAAGGTCTGCTCAGCAGCATCTCCTTTTAGGGTTTAGGGTTTGCCTACATTGCGCTGTGCAAAAAGAACGTGGCCAAAAAAAACCCTGCAGCCCCAAACACTGCTGCCTGCCTCGAAGTCTCCAAAGTATTGCGCTGGCCACGTATTCTGAGGTTCCGGCTGCCGCAGCAGAGACCAATGTGCGCGAAATATTTGGAATTGTTTGCTGATATCATGTTCTGCCGTCAGACTCTTCGAACCCTCGAAAGTACTGCTCCTGGCACGTATTTTGCACTTGCCGTTGTGCTCTTCGGCGTTAACATAGCCAAAAAAAGGCCGCGTTGCCTGAGCCCTGCTGGCTGCCTCGAAATCTCAAAAGTATTGCGCTGGCCATGTATTATAAGGTTTCGGCTGCCGCAGCAAACACCAATTTGCGCGAAAAAATTGGATTTTTTGCGGAAATCGTCTCCTGCCATCAAGACCTTCGAACCCTCGAAAATACTGCGCCTGCCACGTATTTTGCACTTCGCTGCGTATGTAACGAAAGCTCCTCGGGGCAAACCTAGGGCTACGCCCGTAGTAGTAGTAGTAGTAGTAGTAGTAGTAGTAGTAGTACTAACAGTAGTAGTAGTAGTAGTAGTAGTAGTAGTAGTCGTAGTAGTAGTAGTAGTAGTAGCAGTAGTAGTCGTCGTAGTAGCAGCAGTAGCAGTAGCAGTACCAGCGATAGTAATGATGGTGGTAGTGGAAGCAGCAGTGGATATAGTGCTAGTGGTAAAGGCTGCGGAAGTGGTAGTGCTAGCGATGCTGGCAGAAGTTACAGTGTTAGTGGTGGTGGTGGTAGTCTTAGTAGTTGTAGTAGTCACACTCAACATGGCGGTCGTAGTCATAGCAGTAGAAGTAGTAGCAGGAGTAGCAGGAGGAGTAGTAGTAGTAGTAGTAGTAGTACTAGTAGTAGTAGCCATCGCCGTAGCCGTAGCGATTGCTGTAGCAGGGGCGGTGGCAGAAGTGGTGGTGGTAGTAGTGGTCATAGCAGCAGCAGTAGCAGTAAGTAGCAGTCGTCGTAGTAGTTGTATTAGTCGTAGTCGTAGTAATGGTAGTCGTCGTCGTGGTAGTAGCAACAGCAGTCGTCGTGGTGGTGGTGGTGGTGGTGCGGTGGCAGCGACAGAAGCAGTAGCCGCTACGGTAGACGCGCAGCCACCCTGTCAGCATTGTGAGGGGCGCGTTGCGGGATGACCGAGGCGCAGCCAGACCAATTGAGAATATGAGCAGAAATACAAGCAGAAATACGAGAGGTACATTCAGCTGCGGTAGGGACTACAAGAAGACGAGAAAAGTACAAGACAAACACAAACAAACACACAAGACTGCCGGAAGTGCTTTTCTTGCATTGTGGTTTTCGTATTTCGTTTTGACTTCGACCTCTCCAGTCTAATTTGTTGTCGTATCTTTTCTGGTGTTTCTCTCGTAATCAGTTAGTTGATTGTCACTAAAAGTCGAGTGATTCACTACCCGTGCCCGTCACACCGGTAGCTTTGGCAAAGGAGCAGCAGTTTCCTCACCCGTATGAGCCACAACCAAAACAGCGACAGTGGATATGACGAGCACAGACATTGCGGCTCGGACGGTGACAGTCGCCAGCAATGCAGCGAAGACAGTCCCTGCATCATACATTCACGACCATACCAGCTGCCAGCAGCCAGCATATTCTGGCACCCTGTGTCACAAGGACTGCTTGCCAACAAGATCTTTTGCACGTGCAATCCACGGATCATGTCAAAATATGGTCGGCTGTGAACACATCCCCCGGACGCGTGTGCAACACTGTGAAAGCAGAGCAGATGTCAACAGCTGCCTTCGTCGCTAAAGCAGACAAACCGTAAACACAGCTTTGCTGTACGTTGATGATTATCGGAGAGCAAATCGAGCTCCGGTAAGCTTCATCATGGGCGGCAGCATGGTAATTACAAGCAGCTAGAGCATCGAATGCATCAAGCGCACAGAACATGAACTCACAACTGCTAGAACAGGCGAGAATCAATGGCGGGCAGCTCCAACTGTTGCGTGAATTTTTCGTGCACACATCTTTGCAAGTTTTTCGAGATCCTTGGCCTCCTAAAACGACTGTGGCACATTCCGTCACACGCAGATCCTCAAAATGGTATTGTCCAGGCAAGTTTGCATCGGCGAGAAATACCAAGCTTCTGATTAAAGCGGCACATGGTACATCCCTCGACGCATCGCTGGGGCATGCAGTCATTCTGACTTGCAGGATCGCGACTGCACCCTGGGAACCGGCGCAGGAGGTGTTGCAGGAATCCCAGCGCAGACTAGGCTAGTGTGTCAGAATTTGTTGCTCGCTGGCCAAGGTCCAAGCTGGAGTCCACAAGCCCACTGGAATGCGAGTTGCGATCAAGACGGTGCCGTTTTCAGGGGTTGCAAGGGCGGAGTCCTGAATGTGTTCAATGCAGGTGAAGGTTGACAACAAAGAGAAGCGTGAACAGATGCTGCAGGAAATCAAGGGCCTCGTTCTTGCCACCTGGACGAAATGATAAGGAAATGTATTCTGTCTTGACTCGAGACTTTCCCACCTGTTTTGGACGAAGTTGCGTAAAGCAAGGCGCCTAGTCATTAGTGAAAACTTAGACTTGAATCCGCTTTAGTCGTAGCTTGTGAAAGGCTTCCTGGCCGACTGCAGTTGGCCCCTTGCATGTTCTTGGATGAAAAAGGCTGCTGGCTGTCCCTACTTGGTTCAGTGGTACGCCGGCTTCGTGGGCAAGGCTCGACAGGTGATGCTCAGCAAGTGAAGAGTGCTCTGAGTTTCAGGACACCGGGCTCGTGCACGTCGTCTTGCTCCGAGTTGAGTCGAGTAAGTTCTGCTCGATGCGTACTTCCCAATTTCGGGAGGTCGTGGAGCTGATGGATAGGGGGAGCCTTGCCGACCTGCGGAGGCTTCACCAATCTCAAAACAGTCTAAACTGACTGCAGAAACGGTGTCACCCAGCAGTTTCTTGCAGCTTGCTAGCATGTTGCCACGGCCTTTTGCAGACCGGCTTTCCTTTTCCTTGCTCAGGCGTCTGGCTGCTCCTGTTCCGCGGGGACCATAGCTGCCAATACCTGCACACAACTAGTTGCTCATGACCTGATTTTCTGTACCGGTCTACCGATTTCTTTGATTTGCGGGGCTTAGGTGTCATGGCGTTTGCAAGTGATCAGAAGCATTCGGAACCTGCACCGCATATACTTCCAGTTGCAACGATATCGATTGTAGGTTTGCTCGTTGCCAGCAAATGCGAGTGCCACAAAGGCGGTCCACACTTTTCCAGACCCGGTGCCTCCCTTTCCGATTGTCCTGGTGTTTTGGTCCGGTTTTCCGTCTCTCGGCCTGTCGTTGTCCTGGTATTCTGGAATCCCAGTGTGCGGTCTCAAGGTCATCCGTTGTCTCGGTGTCCTTCTCCGGCGCCTCGGCTTCCGGTGTGCTTTGTGTCCGAGGTGTTTGATCGACCTGGTGTCTTGGTGTGTTTGTGTCTTGTCCACGGGTTGTGCCTGTCTCGGCCTTTCGACATGTTGCATATCTCGAAATTACTGTCTCCGAGTATCGTAGCAGATCGGATGGCCCGATGTGCCGATGTCCAGTTCCTGGCGTCTCGGAGTGGTGTTTCGGTCGGTTCGTCTTCTTGTATGACACATGGCAATGTCGACTCGAGCACCAGCCGCAATTCAAGCACTGCGAGCACTGCGATGTCCGTACACAACCAATCCATTTCTCAAACCTCAAGCACACGTGTGCGAGTCAAGCGCGTGAGATCGAGCACTTGCGATTCGAGACATTCGTTGCCGTTGTTTCGCAATTTTCGGCTTTACGATTGGCCGTGCAGTGTGCGATTGGATCTCAACATTTTTGATGTCCATTTGCGCAGGTGTGTTTTGTGCGTTGGCAGTTTCGGTGTCTCCCCGTCGTACCAGTTTCGTGATGCCCCGTATTTGATATGGCATACTTTGTATGGCTTTCGACTTGGTGCTACCATCAGGAGTTTGAGGTTTTGAGGTTTCTATTGTGTGTATTGTTTGGGAAGCCCTGGGAATGCTTAGCCAAACTTCAAGGAGGTTAACCCCCCACACCGCCATTAGGAGAGTGTAGTGAGAATCGAATATGCGATGCAAATCCAGTCTTATGCATTCCCAGGGTTAGTCTTTCAACTGTCAGGTGGAGTTGCTGTGAGGCTTCCGAACCTTGCCGAGCTGTTGCGAGCGGTTCCGGGCCATTCTGAACCAAATGCTCCTAGCTGTGCCGAACCGTTCCCGTCCCAACCGTCCCGAACCGTCCCGCACCGTTCCGAAGCGTTCCGAAGCGTTCCGAGGAGGGAGGAGGGAGGAGGGAGGAGGGAGAGGGAGGGAGAGAGCGAGAGGTTCGGGACGGTTCGGAACGGTTCGGTTCGGTTCGGGACGATTCAGGACGGTTCAGGACGGTTCGGAACGGTTGGAAAGACAGTCCGGCAAAGTTCCGAGCAGCTCCGGAACATCAGCCCAGCACAGCCCAGCCCACCGCTGTTGACTCCGCATCCGCTTGCTTAATTTTGCTGTCGAAGCCCCGTCGAAGAGCACTCAAAGCACTCCATACCCTGCCATCATCTCAGAAACAGCGCTTGCATTAGGCGTGCTCCGAAGGAAAGTGCCGCAGTCTTAAGCATTCCCAATGTATTATATATTGGTTTCAACCTACAATGCGTGCGTGAATGTACAACATCGTACAGCTACTTACATGCATGCACACAAAGCATGCATGCAGACAAACATACATGCAGACATATAAATAACATATACTCACATACAGACAGAAACATATGCACATTCATACATACACGCATACGCACATTTGTAATGTGTGCATGTATCTAGCTTGCACACATGTATGCAAGCACCGCGCATACATAAACACGTCCATGCATCCATCCCTCCATCCATGCCTCATACATCTATACTTGCTTGCAGGACCTTTCACGTGTATGCCCATAGATACAGACACCCATATAGGCACTTCAGCATATGTCTATGTGCACATGCTTACATGCAGGCATACTGTATATCTTGTACACTGTATCAGTATATATATATATACATATATATATATGCATATTTACATACGCACATACACGCCTTGAGAATGTCCAGGCCGAATCACGTGGCGTGCATCGCTGCCCAAATAATGCGGGGCCTGGAGCATCTGCACAGCAGGCTGGCAAGCGTCATGGAAATGTGTCGTTACTGGTGTTGTCCTCACTGCAGACGGCTACTTCACAGAGACATTAAGCCCGAGAATGTCTTGCACAACGGCTTGGGCCAGGTTTGGACGTTCTTGATCCGGCTTGTCGATTGTGCAATGGTCCTCTCCACAGGTCAAGCTGACAGACTTTGGCATATCAAAGGACGGTTTCCGACGCGCCCTAACAGATTGTGAAAGTTGCCATATTTCTAGAGGCATGCGAGCTAACACCTTGCACCGTAGTGGATGAGACAGGGGATTAGAAGCGAGGGCATTCCTGGACATGATTCTGCAGGAGTCAGATGAAAAAGGCAACGGGATAGAATGCTTCAAAGGTAGTAACATAAGAAAGACCACTCAGTGTGCTCTGCAAAAGTTCCTTGCTACTAATTTTGAGGTGCACGGAAAAAACTTACGGTCCGCATTGCCTGCTGAGAATGTTCTAGTCAGTGCAAACAGGATTTGACATCTACTGCTGGTGTGGCAGCGAGCTTCGTCGGAACCGCGAACTACATGTCTCCTGAGCGTGCTCTGGGCAAGGACGGCGGTTTTTCTGCAGTTTCCGCAATCCAGGCAGACAAGGTCTGTCACTTCTATCGTGTTCTCGAAGATCTCAATGTGCAAAGTCCATGCAGTCCTTGCGGTTGCGGTCCTGCATGTCAGCCGATTTACGCCCGTAGGTGTGCACAGGCCCTATGATGCTTTGTTTTTGCACACCGTGCTGTTGGAAAGGACTATTCCTTCAGGCCAGCTCTCAGATATCCCACTCTGTGAGCTAGGGTAGCAAGTGTGGCTGCGTTCGTTGCCATTGTCATTGCAGCACACTGCGATCTTCAGGTCAGATGTTTGGCTCTTGGGTACCTGATGTACTTCCGTACTGACTTATTCAATACTTGAATCTTGAATCTTGTTCGGCTGAGGTCTGGAGTGCCGGAATGGTGGTGTTCGAGCTGGCCCATGGGCAGTGCCCACAGTGTCGAAGTAGATCCATCTTGTTCTTGTCTTCGGTATCGAAGTTCTTGCGACACTGGTGACAAATTCAATGCACAACCAACTGAATCCGCGGGTATGTGTTTCTTTGGTACTATTGAGAGCCTGCTCGGTGTTAGCCTCAATGCTGCTTACAGCATCGCTTCCGACAACCCGCTCGTGACTGGTAATTCATATTGCGGCTTTCTGTTTGTGCACATGCAAAAATCTGACGCCTTTCGATGTCATGATGCTTTTCATAATTTCCACAGTGGTGACATCGCCTTCGTTGGGAAAGCAACAGGCAACAGTCAGTGCCATATTTCTCTATTGAAGTCAACGACGGCAAAGGCGGCTCGTGAGGGACATTCTCCATGCTGCCTCCATGCGGCCCAAGCGAGGAGAGTGAGTAATCCTGGCTTCAACAACCGATGGCACAGTGCCGATCAAAAACGAATACTGTTCCTGTTTGAGATGCAATAACTGTGTTGAACATTGGTGTGTGTGTCATACGTATGCTTCATAACTTAACCAGGACCAGGAAAACTTCAAAACAGTACACAACATGCAAGCGGTCCTTCGATTCGATAGCCAGGACGGTTTTCGCACCAACAAACTAAACGTTGCACATCAATGCCTTGCGAACGTATTCACAACATGATTTTTCATTTATGATGTCAACTCAACAAAACAGGCGAAACAAAAACACACCTATTCCCTGCAGGATGCCACGCCGGAGGTGTCGAGGATAAATCCAGCCGCTCGTAGCCATCCTCTTGCGGGCCCCAAGGCTTTCTCAATGCTCTCACAACGCAGAAAGACAGGAGTCTCACGACTCGCGCTCAAGAGCAGAGCAAGCTTGCCGCATCATGCTTCAGCCAATCGCTGTACGCCTTGGCGTCACGGGGGCGCATGCTGATCAAAGTGCACCCCAGATGGCGGAACAAGGTCAAAGGCACGGACCACGCCACTAAGAACGAAAGGGGCCTGGCCGGGGTCGTCCCACAGAGGCAGACTGCCGGAACACTCGCGAAGTCGTGCCTGGCTGCACGTGGTCGGCGAGGAGATCAACATCAAGGATGAGTAAGATGTTCTCAGCCGTTGTCTTCCGAGCAGAATACGCATCATCGGAAGCCGCCCAAGCCTGACCCGTACTCCGGAGTACGGAGATAGGCTCAACATAGGAAGCAACTTGATCCCACACGGCGGTCTCGTCGGTAGGATCGCTTGCCTAAAGGTCTCTCAAAAGCCCCAGAGCTATGTCGGTCCGAATACGTGCTGAGGCGGTTTCATCAAAAGTCCCTTCGGTGGCCTGTGGCATTGCCTGGGGGTGCATGGGTCTTTCAGGGCTCAAAGGCGTGGCAGGGGTGAAGCGACCCCAAAAGCGAACGCACTGAGTACGGGCAACGAGGTGCCTGTGTAGCCTACCGACGGAGGAGAAGCAGCTCCCGCATGCATGGCAAGTGGTGGACTGAGCGCAGAGAAAGGCGTGGGATCGATAGCCGTGCTTTCTTGCTGCATGCCCAGCCCATGACAACCCTCACGTGAAGGCACGCATGCAGGGTATACAGACCTCAATGAGGACACGGTGAGAAGGAGGGGGCGCATCAGGGCAAGCACGGCCACAAGCCAAAAGCAGGGCCCGATGCAACCCAGACAATGCGGCAACAACCGAGTGCCGGCATACCTCGAGCTCTCGAGCCCGTTTGATTGCCCCTTTGAACTTCCCATAGCTGCCGAGTATGAAGGGAAGCCAATCAGTCCACGCAGACATAGGACAAGGAAGGGGCGCAGTGCTCCAAGCCCAAGAGTGGAGCTATTTGAGGTCTGCTTGCAGCTGTTAGGCATAGGGCCTGTCAGCTCTGACAACTGCCCATACCTCCGGGGGTCCGGCATGGACAAGCTGGCCCAGGTATAGGAGCTCTTCGAGCACCCCTCGATCCCATAACGGGCACAAATGTTCAACGATGCCAACGGCATCCGGAACAGAAGTTTCCTGCACACATTTTCATTCATATCGTGTTCTGTCCCGGTACAGCTCCTCCATCGTTTCGGCTAATCTCCACGAACTAGTAGTGGCTCCAGGAAGAGGTTCCAACGCAGGTCACTGGCAGAAAATTCAGATGGCTTTGGCCCAGAACTTCAATTCTGTCGGCGAGTGAGCTTGGACCTGTATACGCCGAATGTGAGCAGAACGAAGGAAGGTTCACAACGCCCTTTCTGGCTGTTGTTACAGGAGAGGAATGCCAATTAGTTATATCCGCTGTGGTTGAGACCGGAGCATGGTACGGTCAGTCATGTCAAAACTTGCTCCGAGCTTTTGAGTGCGATTGCCAGTATGCGTTGATTTCGCAGGTACCCATACAAGGCGAAGAACTTTCTTGACCTGTATGAGGTGTTTGGCCTCAGTGCGTGTGTGGACACCTTTGTCAGCGCATGGCTGGAGTTCCAGCATGCACCTTGTTGCTTGAGCTAAGTGCCTCTGCGCGCAGCCCGAGTGTGGAACTTAGCGTCGGCAATCGTTAATCCACCCTTCTGCTCTTCAGTCCATGGGCCGGTGTGGAAGTGGATGCCGTGCCAGGGTAAGTGGTTGCTGTCAAGTCAATCTGGCAGGCTAGGCTTGTCCATCGGTGATACTGAGGCCACGATTGGACACCAAAGCGTTTCCTGCTGCGCTCTGCGGCTTTGTCGCCTTGTGCTTGAAGCGTGATGACATCGCGTGCACCCCTTGGAGCAGAGATTGCAAACTCCTTGAAGTCTGCACAAAGAAGGCTGAGAAACAAATCCAAATACTCTGCAGGCGACCCGACGTCCAGTCGTTGGTTAAGCACGAGCTGGTGGTAAGCCAAGGCTGACTTGCTATTGTGGAAGCCCCTTAGGACTTTGAACATGGAAGTTTGACCTTTGCAGGTGCAGAGCAGATCAAGCTCTTGGCAGAGTGGCTAGCAACGTCTGGAGCTTGTTCATTTGTTGCCCAGCCAGGTCTGTTTGCAGACGGACGATCTTAGAAGAGTTCCTTCGCAGTCTTAGCTCTAGAATGGATTTGATTTTGGCACCTCATGAGGCCTGGCAGCCATTATTCTGACAGGTTTTAGTGGTGTTAGAAGTACTCCGTGCAGCGCTTGGCGCATACAGTCTGTCTGCGTCCTCCTTTAGCTGAGAGATTCTGTCCAGCCTGGTGCGGTTTCGGATGAGGTTCCCACCCTGTCTCTCTGAGTCTCTCTGCTGTAATGCTTGTGGTCCCCGCTGAAGCCAAAGCCAAGAGCTGCCAAGAGCGGGAGAGGGCCAGTGGCTGAGACACCTAAGGCTGCCTCGTTGAGCGGCATCGTTTAGGGCCAGGGTCGGATGTCACAACACGTGAGATTCGCCACCCCAGTGTCTCACAGAGCGACTAGCAGCGATGAGCATGCGCAAAGCATCCGCCTTGGCTGGGACTTGCCTGCCTTGCCTGCATACGCCAGCTGCTGCCTTCACAGAGCATGAAGGCTCGAATCGGCAAGCCTTGTCTGGACAAGTCATACTGAACTCGTTTAACTAGGGCAGCACCCGAAGGATAGACTGCTGGAGTATATGCACTCTGCTTGGGTCTGCTGCCATGTGCGGCGAGTCGTCACTCAACTGAATGGCCTGTTATGTAGGCAAATTTTGATGTACTGACTTGTTTGTTGCCATAGTGCTTGGTTTTTCCATGTCGCATGAGGCTGCAATTTGCACAGCTGCCTTCGCTGCACACTTCCTGTATCTTGGTGGTTGCTTTGCAGCAGTGGGCAGAGTCCCCAAGAAGGTGCGGACGCTCAAATTGTAATCGGACATGTATGCATCATCATGCACCGATGCCACGAGCAAGTAGCTTTCCGAGACTTGCATTGAAGAGTCAAGAAATAAGATCCTCGACATGTCCAGCTGAAACGGTGTGCCACACCATGTTTGCAAATGGGCTGAATGCAGTTTTCCCCACTGGCACTTCTCAACGAATTCAAAACTGGCTGCTCCGATAGTATTCCATCAATATGGCAATGACGGCTGCGCTTGTAGCGTTCAGACCATGTGTGCGACATGCGATGGTTTCGCAAAAGCCGGCAACCCCCCAAGTGGTTCAGGTTAGAGAATTTTCAGCTTATCCAGTCCGGCAGCTTTAGCTTTGTTGTTCATGCTCGGGCACTTTGATCCGGGCGTAGTGGTCTGCCACTCCTGAAACTGCTGCTTGGTGGGATGTCTTCCTGTGCTGTCGGCACGAGCGGCAAGGGTTTTAGGAGAGGCAGGGTATTAAGGGAAGCTTGCACTTACCAGTAGTGTCCACCGTAGAGCAACCTCCGGGCCTCCGATGTCTCATTGGTTCGGTTGAAGCTGCTATCGTTGGCGAGCAGAGATGAAGTTCGGTGTCCGAATGGCCGTGCACAACAATATCGTTAGCATCTGAAGCTGTGCATACAGATCAAGAACTATGTTTTAGAAAATCAACCTGATCGGCATGTGACTCCTATCGCTAGATTCACTAATATTCACTACATCTGGCCTTCTGCAGACCTGTGTCTTGGTCAAATAAATGGCACACAGCTTGGAAGAAGATTGTTTCGGAATGCGCGTTGCGGGGTGTGGAGCGCCGCGCGTTGCTTCTCATCTCCACCGGCGGGCCAATTCACGAGACCTGATGCCATAAGGTGTCTTCTGTGTCTTACAGCGTAAGGATCAGGTTGCAAGGCATACCGCTTGGCCATTTGAAGGGCAAGCACGTAAACTCTGAGCGGACCAATCATGTGGATGACGTTTGTCATCTGGTGACGGGTGTTTAAAATTGATCAGTCGGACGATCGGGCTGTGGACATGGAGAGGTAGGAGCAGGAAAGTTTTGCTGCTGACGGAAGTCGTGATAATGGGGTAATCATGGTCGTCACTGAAAGGTGGCAGCCGCTGATTTGATCCCCCGCCAAGCGGAGTTCTGCCAAGAATTGAAGCACCGCGGTTTTGCAATCGTCCAGTCGGACCTGAGCAGGTGCCTTGGCAGCTCTTTGGCATTTCCTCAGGTTGCCCGGTGCTGTGCTCCTGTGAGGAGGAAGGAAGCCCTTGCCTGGCTGGAGGGTTTGGCAGAGACAGATCCGGATCTTGCAGACTTTGGCCTTTCTGATGATGATGGCCTTGTGCGATACCAACGGGTTGACTTCCCGAGAACCGTTCAAAGATTGGACGTCACCCCAGCTGGGAGTGGAGCACTCGCAGATCCAGGAGCCGAAGCAATCCTGGGACTGGCCGCAGATTTGCATGCACTGTCTCTGACGTGCCTGACGGCAGTGGCGCAGCACGAAAAATTGCCAGAGCTGCTAAGCCTCGTGGCAGACAGGCCAGAGCCTCTAAATTGCGCAAAGGAGCGCTGTCCTGCAAGGCACCATGTTCTGCTCAATGTATTTAGAGCCAGCAGGCTCCAAGCAGCGTTTGGATATGCATGTTCTGGGAGGAGCCAAGCATCATGCGAGCAAATATCTATGGTGGGCAAGACGGATGCTTGGTCCAGTTCATCGAAACACAAGATATACTCGTAGTTGTCAATAGTGTATGTTCTGGTGTAGCTCGAGCTTGGCTAAACAACGTCTTTATTTTGAAGATGTCAGATTATATCACTGAGTTTTGGTGTTCAATCGTGTCAAACCAGACGGTCGGCCTCGTCACCGTCTTATCTTTGTCCCTGTGTTCCGTCCTTCTCCAGCTTGCGCAGCTCGTCGCTTTCCGGTTCCCCGCTGTCCTCTTCTAATTTTGGGGCCGCGTGGTTGTGCAGCAGATTTTCCAACGAACCGGAGCTCGTAAGAATGAACTGGTTAAAGAGTGTGAAGAGTGGGGCCTGCAGCCCCGATGCAGGCCAGACGTGGAAGGATGTGTCATGCGTTCCAGAGACACAGCCGAGCAACGAGAAACCTACGATTTGTGACAGCGCGGACTGAGGAGCTGGACCTTGCTGGCACCTGGATCTGGGATTGCTGACGGTTGCACCTGCAGGGTCATGGCCGGCTCTGACACTCAGTTGTGTGATAGTGCTTTCCGAGAGTGATGTGGGTCGTTGCAGCAGATTGTTTGCCTTGTCTCAGTTTCTGTGATGTCCTGCACTTGTCAGCGATCTTCAAAGGATGGCTTCTCCCTTTCATGATTCAATCGGCGAGACTGCTTTTCTGGAAGAGCTTTTGGACCCAGACCGTGGCATGGTTGAAAGTTGAAACATGTTGGGACCGTGTCAGAGCAGGACGGTAGGCTAGAATATCATTGGCCGCAGTCGTCGTCTGGCGAAGTCAGGGCTTGCCAAAATGTACGGCAGATCTGCGACAAAAGGTTATGACAGTTATGACTCATGACGACTTTACAACTTCACATTCTGCGAAACATCCTGTATGTCGGCAATGCAGGAGATGTGCTCGTGTTTGCCGGTACTGCTCTAGTCCTCGCCACTGCGGCAGCTTACACTGGACTGGTACATGGTGTATCGGCTGGCCGCCTTAAGCAAGGACGAGCACGACACTCGGCAGACAATGGTAGAATGGAGGATGTGTGGTTGCTGCATGTTGTGCCAGGCGTTTCCGTGCCTTACTTTCTGCGGCCCCGAAGTGGCGCGGTGTTGGAGAAGCCACCGTGGTGTGACGAGAGCTTGGCGGCTTGCATGCGGTGGTGGAGTCAAGAGTCTGTTCTTCTGCCGTCGCAGCATTGCAGGCTTATTTGTATCCAGCCGCTGTTCAAGCTGAAGGCCTGGACGGACAGGGGACGGGGCGACGAGTCTTGTGCTTGATTCAGCATGCCTTTTCTTGCGAGCTGCACTAGTGACACTAGTGCTCCTGCATGTCCTCACGAAGCCAAACGCAAGCTGGCAGAAGTTGCTTCGCTTCAACAACGGCTTTAGGTCTGTTGAGCTGTTGAGGGTGGAAGCTCAATGGTCGGAACCGTTTTGAAGACTCACAGAACGCCTGCCAGGGTCTTTGCCAGGCTCAGATTCCTCAGCACCTTTTGAGTACAGGCAATCCGCGTTTTTTCGCCGACCCCGCCAATGCTCAACATGCCATGACTTGAACTCAATTATTGAGACATCGGTATTTTGAGTGCTGCCGTCTGCTGCTGCTGTCGTTGCTATTGCCACTGTTTCTGAGTTCACAAGTACATGTGCCCAATGATTGTTCGTGAAGCATTGGTACAGGTGGAATCCATACGGGGCAACCCATGTTGGATCTCTTGCGCTTTCACCGGGTGCCCTGGTGTTGAAGTGCCTGAGGTCCCAAGTTAAGTTGAGTCTCTGGATCACAAGCCTGCGTTCCTTGCCGTTGGCTGGTCATCCTGAGGACTTGTACGGGCGGCTTTGCACACGTGGCCAAGTGGTTCCGCTCTCCGCTTTTGCTGCAGAAGCCTGGCTCCCAGCTCTTCAGAGTCACTTATATACTCGTGACAATGGTGGGTTATGCACGGGCATTAAGGATTTGCAACAGAAGGTGCGACAAGATTTTTACTTGTGAGCGCCGCTTAGAAAAATCACGACTCAGATTGATCTTGCCGAATCGATGCGAAAACTCTAAGCCATAGTATTGTTATACATTTTGGGGAGTCATCGAAATAAGATATATTTTAGACGTTATTCTCGAGAGTTATATTTGTAATTATGATTTATAACTAGTTTGTTGTCTTTCTATTTCTTACGTAGTTCATAATAAATTTGAGGCAGAAGGTGGTGATGGTAATTTAAGGCTTGCGGGATAAGGATTTTTTGAGGTGATCTTCAATAGATGGATATAGTCGCGAAAATCTGCAGCAACGCCCGGTAAAAATATCTGATATTGATGATATGCAATATATTGTAATTATCGTGCATGGTCGGAATATGATAAAATTCTTCGAGGATTTATCGTGTCTGTTGGATCATCGATTTGATTTTGATAAGAATTATATGTTTAATTTTTTTTAGAAAGAAAAGAGAGGAGAGCTTTTTCTAATTTTTGATGGATTTAGAATCATTACATGAGGAAATTCGGATATTCGTAATATT